TTCTCCGTTCGACCTTTTCTTCAAAATTTCTCGTTATCTTCCTGAAAAACGCATTTCAGATATACAAATCGGGCACGAAAACTTTCCATGATGCTGACAGACAAGCCAACAGATCGGCCTTACTCTTCCTTGAATTATGTCTTGAAATTGGCTACCAGTGATGCCAAATACTTCACACTTCAGGCAGCTCAGCACTTGTCTTTCTACGCATTCTACAGCTTGGATCTCGTAGCCATCCTTGGCGCCGTTGTTATGGTGTTATCAATAAACATTTAAGATAGCTTTTGTACCTGTAAGATCCGTTCCTGTATATTTTGTACCATTCTTTATTTTACCAGTTCGAGCACTTTTCAAAAGAGTGACTTAGGAGATGCCGATTTGTGGACAAACCCACCACTGTATATGGGGACCCCAACAGGGTCTACGCATTTGACGCAGTACCTGATCGGTGCGATCACTATGACCCTGCGTCCTGTGGTCGGAATTATTGCTCAATATGAAACCACACATATGTTCCGAATGTCTTTAGACCCTTTGCAGGCCAAGCTCCGCCCAATACATCCCACTCCGTGCTACTCGCTAAAGACCTGCTTTCTGATCGAAATATTTGATCGATTCGATATCACATACAAGCAAAAGAATAGTCTCTGGTATTAATCAATCCATTTTCAGGATACGCAATTCATTCGGTCATTGCGACATGTACAAACATAAGTTTGAAATATTTATAGACTCTTTGCAATTGAAAACACAACGGCGCACATTCGTACTTACAATGAAACACATTAGCATCTGAGTTAATGCAAGAGTTTAATTAATTTAGCACCTGTACACTACAAAAAAATGCATTCGTCAGCAATTTTCATCCAGCAATGTTTTTTCTTTGAAAGTTCATCGAGCAAGAATATGATTTGACTCAAAAATCTTATGCAAACACCATTAAATGCACAGCAATGAACCTAGCCCTGATGAAAGAAGAAGACACTTGCGATAATGTGCATAGCAAAAATCTGAATCAATCCTCTCCTTATAACAAAAAATATAAAAGCGACAAAGAAATAAGTTATAAAGTGAACCTAGGAAGCGGAATTGTGCCCTCAAGGCATCAACAAAATTCTCACTGTACAAAGTAAAACAAAGTAGGGTGAAAAGTGGTAAGACCATGAAATGAGCAATCAAAGACGAAAATTTTTCTACGAAAAAAAAAATGACTAGGATTCCTTATCAGCATTCACAATCAAACTGAATCTCCAGCGGGAACCTGAAATTACGAGAACCATGCGATTCAATAAATGGGCCAAATTGAACAGTGAAACCGTCGATTTCAACTTTTGTAAGCCCTCTACTTTACATAGCTATTAAAAAGGGGTATAAATCTCACCTTATGCCGTCCCCAGGCGTGGAAGCACTTCTTGAAACGCTTCGATTCCTTTCCCTTTATTGCCAGTTTTAATGTCCTTGGTCGATCTGTCTGGCGCATTCTCAGATGAGCTACGTACACCTGAGAAAATGTTGACATATACAAATCGAAATCTACGAGCAAAGAAAACATTAAAATTCCTTTTATCGAATGAGTGACCAATACTACAGACCAGACGAGAGAATGCTTTCGAAAAAAATAACTAAAATAAAAACTAAAACAAAATACGAACTAAAATATAAAAATTACCGTGGCGGCCTTATATGCGAGTTTCACTTCCACCTCACTGGCGCGAGCACCTAACCACAGGAATACGAGTTCACCATTATCGAGGATCATGATATCGTCATCGTCCAAATCATCCTATAAAACAATTAATGCAGAAAAAATTTTCCAAAAACCAATAATGGATTAAAAATCGATGAAATGCAGAGTGACAAATGAGCAGGTTTCAGGCATTACCATTTGATGTAATGAAAGGGCAAATTTTGAGAAAAGCAAATGGCATTATCACAGCTGCTTGCAGAGGGACCAGCGGCCGCGCAACCATTGTAGGTCGAATCGAAGGGGTAACAGGGGCTTTATAAGTGGGAGATGGAGGGAACATGGTTGACATGAGGCAACTAGCCGCACAGTGTTGAACAATAAAACCACACTTACCAGTCACCAGTTACCTAACAAAGATTCGAAAATAATAAAACTAAAGATTAAATTCCCTTAAATGAATAAACTATAAGAAGAAAAATCTGAGAAATCATAAAATCAGTCACTAGTTCGAAAAAAAAAAACGAATCAGACCTGACAGAAGTCGACGGTCTTTTCTGACACTGCAAAGTAACCTTTCTCGTTAGTGCAGCGGAACAAACGTGTGTAGCGGAAGAATGTTGCGTCTTTTTCATAACTGAAACATTCAATCTAAAGGTGCCTCTTTGATCGAATCAGGGCAATCAAGGAAAAGCGAGAGTCTCGTTCTTTCTTGCGAAACGAAAACAGGTATGTTTTAGCTTCAATTCAATTATGGATTTTTTTGTGGTAATGGATTTTTTAGGCTCACTGGGAGTAAAGAACTCTTCTTAACTAGGATCGTCCGAAGACGTCAGGTAGAAAAACTCTGCGCCCCATTAACACAAAATTTTCAAGGACAATCAGTAAACATAAGCGTCAGACCCGATCAAATCAAGAGTACCGCAGCAAGAAAAAGAAAAAAAAGAAAGGAGATTAAAACAGTCGTAATTGAACCTCAAAGCACTTCGACCTACTTACTTTTTCTTTCCTCCCATATACTCCCAAAAATCATCAGGTTCTTCGCCCTCTTTGATAACTTGCACAGGGAGACTCTCATCGTGACGATTGATCATCTCTTCAGCTACCTTTAAGATGATTCTTCATTAGATATTGTTCATCCTCAAATTAAAAACTTGAAAAACAAAAAAAAATAAAGTCTTACTCGTCGGGCGTACTCGTGTTCATGTGGATCGCTCTGTGAACCGATCCACACATAAACGATTCCTTTTTCACCATCCTCCCGTGCAACTTTGAATGGCGCACGCAAAATATGGCAAAAACCGGAGCACAATTCAGTTGCCCTGGAAAAAAGTGAACAGTGTAGGTACACA